CCCCCCCCCCCCCCCCCCCAACCCACCCACACACACACACACACACACACTCTCTCCTCTATGTGAATGCTGAATTAGCAAGTTGCAAATGTTCTGGCTTCTTTTCTCAAAGTCCTCTTTTTGTGTCCCAGACATATCAGACATCGAGGAGGACATCACCCCTCGCAGAACATCACGACAACACACAAGAGAGAAACGGACTCGCAGGTACAAATCCCCATCATGTTCTGTAAATATTATTGATGTAAAGAAAGTCCTCTTTTTTTTTTTTTACCACTAAAACCATCAACATTTCTAACAGAACCAGAGCTGAACCATCTCCACGGGCCAAGTCTCGGGACTCATCACCTGTGCGCTCCTCGTTGGCTCGTCCTGCTATAAAAACCTACGCTCCTCGCAGAGGTGAACACTTCAGAGATTCACTTTCCTTGAAGAAACACTGAAAACAAACAAACATCCATGACACTTGCAGTGGAATGATTATAATGTTTGTAACTAATGATGGTTGTTTCCTCAGTGCCATCTGAATCTGATACTGACCAGAGTGCTACCCCTCCCCCTCCAGTCAGGAGAAGCAGTGCAGAGACAAAAGACCCCTCCAAATACAAGTTAGTTTATTTTGTTTAGTAAAGTTTACACAGCTGTATTTTGTGGCACACCAATTTTGTCTTGCTGTACACAAGTGATCCAGTTCTTACACGCATTTGTACAGCTGTTGTTTGTTTTCTTGTTTATTTTTGAGGGCTTTGTACCCTCACACTTGCACTTGTTTAATTAGAGCGATAATTTAGACAAATATAGGCGTTTGGGGACATATCTGTGATAATTGTCCCATTATGCACAGACATAAACACTTTTAATTTTCACCCCTAAAATGCTGTGAACCAACCGTAATTCTACATTGTGTCCAGCAGAGGGTGCATGCGGACAACTTTCAAGTCATGGCCACTTTAAGTTTCACTTTCAGCACAACTGAAGCAGAGAACAACACTGTGTAGCGTATTTTTCTGAACAGAGCATGGTATGTTTATTGTAACTAATCTATAAAAAAAAAATAAAAGAACAATAATTTCTCTTCGATCCTCCAACCTGCTTGTCATTAGCTACATGCCTCTCAAGTTAGCAAGCTAACATTTGGATAACCTAGCATAGGCTGTTGCCTTGTAAAACTTTACCCAGAAACCGTCCAGATGACCGGACTGAACATTGTTGGATTTTATACCTGGATTACTGAGCATGAACTTTGGTGCTTATCCAGAACAAGAACATAGAGGTAAATATATATCAGTGTTAGTAACATTATATTTGTCATCCTCAATGTTTGTTTAAAGTCTTTACTTCTCTGCAAAGAAAAAAAAACACTGCTGCAGTCAGTGCTTATTAGACATTCACCATACGTGACTGACTGATTAAACAATGAGCAGAGAAGGACGTTTCTTTGTTTAATTTATATTTTGTAACACACTTGAAAATATGGGGGATAGTGGAGGATAAAAAATGTGAACACTCGTTAAGAAGACTGTTTCAAGACTTCAAATGTGGAAACAGGTTTCAAAGTATCTGTTCTCGTACATTCTTGGCGGTGGACAAAGCTAAAACATTTTCAGACATTGTTTCTTTTATTGGCATTAGCCTCCCCCTCCCAATATCCGTATCGGCGATAGGAAAACTTTCCATATTGGTCGGGCTTTAGTTTTAATCTCCTGATTTTAGGTAATTCAGAGATTCTGATCTATTAACAGCTCAGAGATTAACTGGAAAGTAAACGTATGATATGTCATGGATGATGTGCAGACGTGTAATATTTGTTCCTCTTGATGCAGATATCTGTCAGGAGTGTCCACCCTCCCAAACCCCCGATCTTCTCCTGTTCATCCCACCTGGACCACGTCTCGACCCTCCTCTGCCTCACGCCCCCGCAAGCCTGTGTCAGAGTCTGACTCTGACCACAGCGTGTCTCCTCCCCTGCGCAGAGAAAGCCCCCACGTAGACAACAGATACAAGTATAGCCACTGCTTTTAATCAGCTGCAGAGAACTTTGAAGCACCATTAAGCTGGTTGTCCTACCAGATCATCCATGTCTTTTGTTCTTTGTAGGTCTCTTTCTGATCTTCCCCCTGCTGATCTGGGATCTACCCCCATTCCTATTCGGCAGGAGCCATTAAGGAGGGTCAACTCGCCTGTTAGAATCCCACCCCCAGGTCTGAACACATACAGGATCACCATTTCACCTTCTTTTAACACCGAACAAACTTACATCTAACCTTCAATATTTCTTTAAGTCTTTGAATGTTTTCAGATGAGTAAATGTTTGGAGAAAGACAAACTATCTTAGCTCATAAATTTCCCACTAATATTTGGTTAAATGTCTTTTAGCAAGTTGCATCTCGACCACAGGCTTTTAGAACCCGTCAACAAGCTTCTCGCCATGGTCTGGCTGGATAGTTAACTGCTCTTCTAGTCAAAACTGCTGGTTAATTTCTGTTTATAGGTTTCCTGACATTTTCAAAACCAGTTCACACATTTTCAATAGGTTTGAGGTTGTGGCTTTGGGAAGGCCTTCCGGAAGCACAATGATAGCCTGCTTTTACCATTTAGAAACCATTTTTAAACTTGGTTTAGGATCATTGTCCTGTTGGAACACAATTCAACCATCTGCTGATTTAAGGTAAAGAAAAAGACTTGTGAGGTAGTCACCATCCTTTCTCTGTCCTCTTTGTGCAATGAACCAGTAGCACAACTTTGACCGCCATGCTTGACAAAAGGTAGTGTTTTTAGATTTGAAAGACTCACTTTGACTCCTCCAAACATACTTCTTGCCACCATAGGCACATAAATTATTAAAAGCCTCAATTTATGCTGATAAGTGTATACAAACTTTTGACTGCAGCTGTATTATGATTATGTGGTGATTTTATGTTTGTGTGTTTCATAAGCATAAATTATATTTTCATCCAAAATGCTGCTGCCAGAGTCTTAACTGGAGTTAGTGGGAGAGATCATATCTCCAGTTTTAGCTTCTCTCCATTGGCTCCCTGTTAAATCCAGAATAGAATTCAAAATCTTACTTCTAACCTACAAAGCCCTCAACAACCTAGCTCCATCTTATATTCAAGATCTTATTGTTCCATATTTTCCTACCAGAGCACTTCGCTCTCAAACTGCAGGCTTACTTGTGGTTCCCAGGGTTTCCAAAAGCAGAATGGGAGGCAGATCATTCAGTTATCAGGCTCCTCTCTTGTGGAACCAACTTCCAGTTTCTGTCCATGAGGCTGACGGAGAGCTGTCCAGTTTTAAGACTGTGCTTAAGACGTTCCTTTTTCATAAATCCTATAGTTAGGGTTGGCTTGTTATTATGCTGCTATAGGCTTAGACTACTGGAGGACAAATTGACCTAATTTCCTTAAATGAATTGTTAAAATTTAATAGTTTTCATTTGATATTATTTCTATCTTAACATGATTCTTGACCTGCCATTGTGTATCTGTTCCTCTCAAACCCAGCCGGTCGAAGCAGATGACCGCTTGTCCTGAGCTGGGTTCGGCTAAGGGTTTCTTCCTCATGAGGGAGTTTTTCCTTTCCACTGTCGCCTTCAGGCTTGCTCAAGATGAGAGTCTGTGATGGAGTTAAATTCAGAGCAGTCTGCTCCTCAGATAAATAATGTTAAATTATTTTTATATATGAATGTTTCTGTTCAGTGCCCTGAGATGATTCTGTTGGGACTTGGCGCTATAGGAGTAAACTGAATTGAATTGAATTGTGTGTTTGAACTTGTTTTATTCTTTTCTTTCTTCACAGATTCTGAGTCGGACAGTGACTCTGCACCTCCTAGAAGGCTCAGTTCTTCGTATGGCCTGGACACCAGATACAGGTACACATGAAGGTCCTCCAAAACCCTCCCTTCCCCCACCCAAAACTCAACAAGGATTGCAAACTGAGCAGACTCCAGCACTCTCCCTTTATTAATCCCAGCTTGTCATGTGCATTTATTTGCTTTTAAATTTAAATAACGCTTCTCTGTTGTTTTATTTTGTAATTGATTTATTTTCATAATTTTTGCAAATTTTAGCTCAATTGTTACCTTTTTTATTTTGCTTGCTTTGTGTTTTGGAATGTGTACCAAATGTGTTTACATTTTGTGAACTGATGAAATAAAAGTGGCCTTCACGAAACGTGTTCCTCTCCTGTGTGTGGCTAATCAAACAATCAGTTTTGCTCCGCTCAGTCATCTGTAGAACGGCTCTGATTGTTGGTCAGTTCTTGAAAATCTGCATGTGTTCCAGAGCACGTTTAATATTAGTTTACAACACTAATTAAAATGGATCATTGTTTTTGATCGGGCACAAAGATGTTAATCATCACAGAGAGCGCTTCCCTCAGAAGTAATAAGGTGAATATTCAACATTTCAGTCTCAGACTATCATTAATAACCAACATTACAGCCTCTGGACCCCCCCTCGCCAAACATAACTGAGATTTGTCGTCTTCCTCCTCCCTCACTCCCACCTCCCTTTATCTTTCAGAGACCTGCCGGAGGTTACTGTGGAGCCTCAGGTGGAGCCGCCTCGATGGACAGCCACCAGCAGCCTCCCACAGAAAGGTCAGGGAACTGAACACCTCTGAATTGTGCGGACATTGAGTCCACATTTACACTATTTTGCTTTACTTTTTATTTCATACGCAGTTTGGCAACTACTTCTGCATATTTTATTTTAAGCCACTCAAATCTGTTCAGCTGATTCAGAAGTTGGTTGCTAAGACTTTTAGTTTATGTAACTTTTATACTTGTATAATATTGCATATTTATTATTTTACTAATATTTTCCTGATAGAAACGTTAAAATCTCTTCAGTTACATCAAAACAATTGTTTGTTTTTAATCTGTTTCGATGAACTTGCTGTATTTTTTTCTTCTGTTGCTGCTTTTAGTTGCTCTTCTGCTACTATTAGCTTTTTATTAGCTTTGAGGGGGCAGCTGTGGCTGAGTGGTTAGAGCGGTCGTGCTCCTATGGGAGAGTTGATGGTTCGATTCCATCAGCAGTCACATCCTGAAGTGTCCCTGGGCAAGACACTGAACCCCTCATTGCCTCTGATGTGTGTCCCATCAGTGTATGAATGTGATGAAGCACTGTCTCTTTGGAAGTATTTGTTTGATTATCTTTGCAGAGATGTAGTCGAGTGCTGTATGAATGTGTGTGTGGAGGTAAATGAGGTCACAGATTGTGTTGTAAAGAGCTCTGAGTATTTTGATTAGATAGAAAGGCGCTATAAGTACAGTCCATTTACCATTTTCTCTAGCTTTTTGCAGCTTTTAGCTTTTAGCTAATGTTTTGCTACTCTATCTTTGTCTTCTTGTGCTACTTTAAGTATTTAACTACTGTTGTGATGCTTTTCTTAGCTTTTAACCACTTTCTGCAATTTTTATCTTTTGCTTAAAGATAAATATTTTATAGAAAAGATACCAGTACTTAAAGCATTTAGCTAGTTTGGATCCATAAGCCAGTCTTTTGTTTTTGTTTTTGTAACTGAAGATCTGCGTATTTTAGCTTTAATAACTCAAATTGTAACCAATCCTTCATCGCTCTGCATTCACACTGCATTTCACAGACAATAAAGTTTTTCCTAATCAAAGTATTTTTTAAGGGATTGAGTTGTTTTTACATAATCAACATTTTATTTAACTGACCAGATCCACTCACATCAGTGTGTTCACCTGTGTAATGTTTTAGTACAACTTTTGTTGTAACTGCTGTTTTGTTGGTTTCCACAGCTCATTCTGATGCTGAGTCAGAGGCCAGTTATGCATCTGTACCCCCCAAGAGCTCAACTGAGAGTGAAAACTCTCACACAGGCAACAAAGGCAATGACAAACCCAAGTGAGATGCATCTTATTTTTGTTTATTTTCGTAATTATGAGTTTTCTACAATATCTGAGTTGTACACAAGCGGTGTACAATCTGCTTATCACAGTAGAACAGCTGTATTCACACATCAGCTCATAAGTGCCATCGTTTAAAATGAAAATAGAGTTTTTAGTTTTGTGTTATTTAACAATGCGCTTGTTTAAAATGTTACAGCACCAGGTGTAACTATGATTATATATAAATGTTAATTTTTATGTTTTGTGTTTCATTAAGAAAAAAAATCTGTGAATGGACCGAGCATTTCACAGAGTTTAAACTGAAACTGAACTTCTCACATGCTCTGAAGCTTCAGCTGATGAGTTCAGCTGCTCTTCACATGGTATCTATCTAACGAAGCTCAAAGAAATCCACCTTGGTGGCACTGAAAACTCAGACTTTCCACTCCTCGTTATTATTAAACTGTTAACCTTAGGCTTGTCATGATAACAAATTTTGCTGGGCAATTAATTGTCTCAGAAATTATTGCGATAAACGATAATATTGTTTGAAATTTGACAATAATTAGTAATTGTCAAATTTAAGAAGAAATATTGGTAAATTTTTGTATGTAATACCTTTTCTGACCACTGGATGGCAGTATAAAATGGTTTGAACCAAAGGATGGATAGTGAGGGAGAGAGCAGCGTGTCTATTTAAGAAAAATAGATGGGAGGCCCCTTGACGTGACGTGGCTGTCTCTCGTTCCCGTTTTTCGGTTCTCAAAATGGCAGATGCTCGGTGTGGTTTGAACTCTTTAGCATAGCTAGTATAGCTAGCTATAGTATAGCATTGAGCATGCATGAGGATCTTTAGCATAGCATTTTTCACACAAAGCTTTGAATAAAAACCAATAAACAAGTTCTCAGCTTCTTTTTGCATAGAAAAACAACTTTTTACACAAAGGCACGGGTTTCAACCGTGAATTTTGGAGCTTCGACAAGACAGAGTTTTTTTCCTGAGGTTGGCCTGTTAGCTTAGCTTCTCAGCTTAGCTGCTTTTAACGATCCAAAAACACGATTTTGGATCGTTAAAACAGATTTTAAGGAGAAAGGGAAGGGTCAGTGAAGAACATCAGAGTTGAACCTTTTGTCATCCGTTGTCTTCAGTAGAAAGAGAGACAAGAAGAAACAATAAAGCCGATAAATGAAAATGAGGTTGATAATTTTCATTTAGCATGACAAAACAGGGGTGACATTATCATGTCTGGGGGTGTTAGTTAAATAGCAGGCTGCAGCATTTTGAAAATGTTGAAGGCGGCTAATAAAGGATTCGCAGATGACAACATAAATAGCATTGCAGTAGTCAATCCTTTTCAAGGATTGAAAAGAAAAAAATCTTCACCTTGAAGACATAATTGCAAAAAAGGCTGCAGAGAGTATTTGTTTATCAAACTATAAATCCTTGTCAAATGTCACCCCAAAGTTTTAACGGGGGGTCTAAACGCGGATGTCACGTTTGTCGTCTTACGACTTGGTGAAGTCCTGTCACTCTGTAGCTACAACAAACTAATGAAAATTCAAGGTTATTTGTCATTCGCATCACATGTGGTACATGAGGTGGAACGAAACTGTGTACACAGGGTCCCAGTTACACCCAATAATAACAAAAATATAAAGTATGAAAATAAATGGACTATAAGGATCTAAAATATACACTAAACACTAATAATGTAAAATTATATTTTGTATGAAACAGCAGCCATGAGTCTGTTTAGAACTTTGCAAACAATTTAAGACTTTCTCTGCCAGCTGGTTTGTGGTTGAGCACTGTGGGATGGTCTGAACTGAAATAACGTTTTCTTTTTCTGTAGTTGTTTTAAACACGTGTTTACATGTTTTATTCTGTAATTGCATATTAAATTATAAAGCTTTTTATTTAATTTAAGAGCTTGTTTGAGGGAAACCAAATCTACTCTCATCCTTTGAGCTCCACAGAAGAAATTCCTTCCTTTTTACTTTTAATTAAGTAGGTTTTTAACCTGCATCATGAAAGACCCCACTCACCCAGCACACACACTTTTTCCCCACTCCCCTCAGGAAGAAGGTTGAGGAGTGTTAAGTGTAGAACCACTAAACTGAGGAATAGTTTCTACACTGAAGCCGTTAGACTCATGAATCCCTAATCAGGATTATCACTGTGAAAAAAAAATATCACTGTTAATGCCACTTGATTGGTGATATGTGCTGCTGATTAGCCATGCTGCTGATCTCATGCTGCTGATTATCCATACTGCTGTATTCATTCATACCCATCTGCTCACCACAGACTCATGTTCGGGCTGCTGTTGATGCGCCGAATTGTTTTACATTATTAGTGTTTAACGTATATCTTAGATCTTTCAGCGTACCAGTTGGCATTTGTTTAGCGTATATCTTAGTTTATATCTTTAAATCCTTATATACTGCTTTTTTTTTTTTACACTTTATATTTTTTCTATTTTTGGGTGTAACTGGGACCTTGAGTACACAGTTTTGTTCTACTGTACCACGTGATGCAAATGACAGTAAAGATACTTGAACTTGAACTTAAACTTTACCTGTACTCGAGTAAAACTTCAACAGAGTACATGTATTTGAGTACATTGTTTTATAACTCCTTCCACTTCCGCTAATTGCTGACAGAGCACATATTATTTCAAGATTGACGAAAATGGCTATAATGCTGTCGTTTCTCACAAGATGATTCTAGTTTACAACACTGACAAGAAAGGCGGCGGGTGATATGCATTTCTTTAACGGACACTAGTGCTGTTATTTAATACTGGTTAATTAGGATAACCTGTGACAAGAAACCAAATTTTCACTTTAAGAATGTGTTTCCAAGAGTCTGAATTTGATCTCAGCTCGTTGTTGACAGTAAACTGGTGAGCCAACTGCACCAGTCTAAATAAGACACAACACTGAACATGGTACTCCATCATACTCATACTCATTTTTAACAAACCCACACATTTAGATCAAACTATTAACACCACAATGTTTGCACTAACCTTAAAAAACAAGATAAATTGCATTTCTTGTGAAAATGCAGTGTGAATGCTTATTGCTGAAGAACTTGCTGAATAACAGCTGAAATTAGTTGAAAACAAGCTGAAATGGAAGAACAAGCCTAAGTTTGCAGAAGAAAGCAGAAAGAACACATTTGCTGAATTTGGTTTAAATAAACAGAAATGAGCACAAAAGTAAGTAAATTAACGATTAAAAAAGCTTGAAAATTAAACGACGACGGCTGAAATTAACTGAAAGTAGCTGATTTATTTATTTTTTTCACGAGGAAGCTGAAAGAAGCTGAACCAGAACAAAATGTGAAAGGAACAGTAAAATAATGTAACCAGATCTAAAGATTTGAAGGATGTAAAATGAGATCAATTTGTTTCCTATGAGAAAAGTGGCACAGAAAATGCTAAATGTTTCAAAAAGCTAAAGTTGCACCAAAGTCATGGCAGGATTGTCCTGAAAGAGCTGAGCGTTTTGAGAAATGATTAGTTGAAATAGCACAAAAATTGTGGAACAAGAAAGATAAAAAATGTACAGAAGAAAAATGGATCACAACGGTGTGAATGCATTCACACTATTAAACTGTCATTCCTTAAATAAATGTATCACCCGACACATGCATGCCAAAGCTTCAAATGATCGTTGCATGATCAGTTCTCAGAGTAATACTTTTGTCGGGTGACGCTTAGTTACTGCCACACTGACTATTAGCTCAACATCAGTAAGAACAAATGGAGTTATGACCATTTGTGTGTCTTAACTTTGATTTGCGGTAGTGGTTTGTGAAAAGTCATCCACCAGTTCGTGAGATAAATTGCTAACGGACAACACATGATCACCTGCCTTTCACGGCAAGGTTTTGATAATAAAGCTGTAAACATTAGGGGGGAAGTGTTAAAACGTACAAGGGCAACATAAGAATATTTAAATACACAGTTTTGTACGCCATCTATAAAAAGTGCTAAAAGTATCGAGTGTGTAAAGATGACTTTTAGTTTCACTGAAGCAGATGTGATTGTTGTGACTGTGACCACAAAATGTAAAGAATTTAATCAACAAAGTCCATGCTCAATAATCCAGGTATACAATCCAACATTTTTCAGTCAGGTCATCTGAGAGTTTCTTTTTATTTGTGTTGAAACGTTTCACCTTTCATCCAGAAGACTTCATCAGTTGACTGAAAATTGTTGGATTGTATACCTGGATTTCTGAGCATGGACTTTGTTGGTTTTGAACCAGTTTGACATGACTGCGGACGGTGGAGAGGGCCGGCACCGGAGGAGGGGGCGTGTCAAAGAGACCATCTTAGCAACAACGTAACTGGTTTGTTCCACTTTGGAGTAAGCTGTTTGGGGGTAGAATCAGTTTTGTGTTGTGTTTTTCCTTGACTGATGAAGCCTTCTGGATGGAAGGTGAAACGTTTCAACACACAAAAAAACTGTCCAGATGACCTGACTGAAAATTGTTAAAGAATTTAATGTTTCTTAAAACTAATCTGCACGACTCGGCGTCCTGCTAAGATTACTGTACACTGTCTCAGCTGAGGAATAATTCAATCTTGAAGTTGTTTTAATAACTCTGAGGAGATTTGTTTCTACGGATCACAGTAGAATGCAGTAAAATGACAAATAGTTGTGGTTTTTGACTGTTTCTTCTGTTTTTCTTAGAATTGTTGCTAAGAAATCCACTGCAGTGGTCAAGCAGGATCCTCCACGTCATGTCAAATCACCCAGCAGGCCCCGTCCTGATGGTCAGTTTACCTTCTTACTGTCCCATCAGTTACTGTGTATACATTGTACGAGACTGCAGGCAGTCCTGACCAAAGTTTTCTTTGTTCAGATTCCTCAGAGTCTGATGAGCTTTCACATCTCAGGAGGTCTGGCAGCTCTGAGCGAGAGGATGACCATCGCCGCAGGTACAACGGCAGGAGTTAAAAAACCCAGACGTGAAAAAAGTTATTTAACTCACTTTAGCTTTACCTTTGGTTTCAGCCTCGAAGTCCTTCTTTGTACGTATAGCTTTATCTCCAATGCTTTCATTGGGATGGGGACATCCTTTTGGCCAGTGGCGGTTTAGTTTCCCCGATGTATAACCAATCACAGTCCTCCTGGCACTGAACAGCATACACAATATGTTGTATTATTGCTAGTATCACTCAGCCCTCTGTGAATAGCAAGCGGCCCAGGGCACTAGGCTGGTCGTTAGACTGAGGGTCCTCCTTTATCATGTGAACAACTAGTTCTGGCTGTCGCCAGCAAACTGGTTGACCCACTATGTGAAGGTGCTATTTATAAGACTGAGTTTATTGCAGCTCCTCAGACTGAAGAAGTCTTTTGGATGAAAGACGAAACGTTTCAACAAAGAATCCATCCAGAGGACCTGACTTAATGTTAGCTTTTTCTACCTGGATTATTGAGCATGAATCAGGGCACTCTACATATGTTTAATACACATACCTGCAATGTTTTGTTTTACTTCATGTTAAGTCTGATTTGTTTTAATGTATTTATTTTTTTACAGACAATAGTTCAATTGGTTTTAGAAACAAACACCCTCGTTATTAATTTTTAGTGTGTTGAAACACTTTTTTTGATGCCTGAATCTGTACTTAATATTCCAGATTTCTAAATAAAATAAATCTTTTTGTTTTTAAATCTGGACTGTCCTTTTCCAGACACAAAACAGCAATAATTTGGATGAAAGATTTTCATAAAACAAAGATGTGTCAAAACTTTTTAGTTTATGGCCCACAAAATAACAGAAAAGCTAATATGTCTTAAAATGGGCAAACATTGTTCAAGACAACACAACGCTTCTCAATGAAGGTTATATTGTTTTGTCCAGTCCTGACTGTCGTTCATCGTTTATGTATTGTAACAGGGGGAGCAAAATATAAACTAGTGGCAATATATTTTTAAAAACATGATTTGATTTGACAAAATCTTCACTTGGTTTTTCACAAATCTCAGTGTGTTTCTGAGCCCATCTGCTGGAACCATGGCTCTAACATCTCTGAACATGTGAGCTTCTTAATAAATAACTTTTCCATGAGTGGAAATTTATGGATTTTTTAAATGTTATACAGCATCATCCAAAAGTTGAAAATAACTTTACATTTAAAGGTTAAATATGTCAGTTGTTGGATTCATCATGATAAAGAATGATGGGGACAAATATTTACTGTCATCTTCTCTTCCTGATAGCGCTCCTCGTGCTACCAATGGGAGCCGTGCTGTCCGCTCTGGGATTTCCGTGAAGAACAATCCAGCACTTCACTGTAAGGCTCACAACAAACAGATTGTTTCGACGGTTTGAGAAGTCAAGTATTTCTTGGACTGTTTAGATTTTTGTTGAGTTTTTTTATACTGAAGCTAAACATGAGCTTAGGGCTCCACGTTATTTACTTTTTAATGCATGATGTTAGCAGTGAAATGTGTCATTTAAGAGGCTCATCCTGCTCATTGCTCCTGCAGCCAAACCTGTGGAAGAGCCCCTCTATTTCCTACCTCCAGACTCTTACCCATCTTCTAATCTGGGGTAAGTAACGTTTTATTTCTTCATCTCTTTATGAACATATTTATTTGGTACAGGAATCTGACTCTTTGGCATCTTCTTTGTTTTTCTCAGGTACAGCTCGGATGTGCACACAGTGAGGTTTGTTAAACAGCAAAGTTTGGGTCTTAGACTCGTGGGAGGCAATGATGTTGGGATCTTTGTAGGTGGAGTTCAGCCAAACAGCCCTGCATATGAGCAAGGGATGAAGGAGGGAGACCAGATCTTGCAGGTGGGTTTTATTCCTTTTTTGGGGGTTATTACAACCCAGGTTAAAAAACTGAGCTGCAAAGCTAAATCAAACTTTTGGTTTTGCTCTGTTCAGGTAAATACTGTAGATTTTGGGCATTTTACACGAGAAGAAGCTGCCAACTTCCTCCTGAAGATCCCACCGGGAGAGCGTGTAGAAATCTGCACTCAGACAAAGATGGACCGTAAGTGTAGAGCAGAAGGAATCATCAGGTAAACTTTTATCGGTAGTAACTTTGCCTTTCTTTAGTTTATAAGAAGATCATCAAGTCTAACTTGGGGGACAACTTCTACATCCGCACCCACTTTGACCATGAAGTCACTGATCCCAAAGGTCTGAGCTTCACCAGAGGAGAGGTGTTCAGGGTCGTGGATACGATGTACCGTGGAAAGATAGGCAACTGGCTCGCCATCCGCATGGGGAACGACCTACACGAGATGGATAAAGGAATAATGCCCAACCAGGACAAGTGAGGAAGGACGAGATCTAGATTTCTGTTTAAACCAAGATTTAAATAGTGTTTTAATCCATTATTGTTTCTTGCAGAGCAGAGAAACTGGCCACCATCGAGCGGACTCAGCGGTCCACTGGAGAACGGACCACTGGAGAAAAGCAGGTTTCAGGGCCGAGAGCAGAGTTTTGGAAACTGCGAGGGCTTCGGGGAAATAAAAAGAATGAGAAGAACAGACGGAGTCGTGACGACCTGCTGCAGCTCACCATTCAGGGCAACTTCCCTGCGTACGAGAGAGTCCTGCTCAGGGAAGGTTGGCACTTTTCTTTTCTTTTTAAATCCTCACATTTAGAAGGGACGTTTGTAACGTTCAAAGTCCATAAGTAATTCATCAAGTTTTAATACTCTTGAAATGTTTGTTTCTCCAGCTAATTTCAAACGGCCCATTGTCATTCTGGGTCCTCTTAATGATATTGCCATGGAGAAGTTGGCCAGAGAGATGCCTGATGAATATGAGGTGGCAGGTTGGTTTCTTCTTGTTGATTTTTAAAAATGGATTATATGAGTTTAAGAAGTATCTTTAAATGTTATTCTGAACTGTTGTTTGTGCTTGTTTTTATTTTATTTTTCTTGCTGTGTTGCAGAGATGGTTCCTCGCAGTGGAGTAGAGAGCAGCTCCACAGTGATTAAACTGGACACAGTGAGGAGAATAGCAGAGAAGGTGAGCAGCTACATGTAGATCAAAACGTTTTTTTTGTTTTCACTTTGATGGCACAAACCCCCTCTATGTGTCCCTGTGATGGACTTGCGGCCTGTCCAGGGTGTACCCCACCCCTCATACAAAATATGGATATGGGTACCAGTGACCCCAGCAACCCGAAAACGAAGAAGCAGGCAAAAGATAATGGATGGATGGGCACAAACCGCTTGTTTTTGGAGTTATCTTCTAATTGTTTTTAACCTCCTTCTCTCCCAGGACAAGCACCCCCTGCTGGACATCACTCCCACTGCAGTGGAGAGGCTCAACTACATTCAGTACCATCCCATGGTGCTTTTCTTGGATCCTCACAGCCGCAAAGATGTCAAGTCCATGAGGCAGAAGTACAACCCCAACTCCAACAAGAGCTCCAGGCGTCTTTACTCTCAGGCCTTGAAGATGAGAAAACACTGCAGCCATCTTTTCTCAGGTGAGCCTCATTGAATATTCCTTTTGGTGTTTTTTTACCTGTAGTTGTACACCTGTTCACTGCTTCTCCTGACTCTTTCCTTTCAGCTCGTATTGACCTCATGCCTGGCTCAAACAGCTGGTACGAGAGCCTGAAGGAAAAGATCCGCCACCAACAGTCCAAACCCGTCTGGGTGTCTGAAGTCACGGTATGAGACATAGCTGGTCTTCTCTGAAATGCACATCCTGGAATATTTTTATTTTATTTAAAACTTTTAGAATTTAAACATGCTGCTGGAAATATGATTTTAAAAAAAAACTTAGACAAGTACATTAAAAAAGAAAACTTTCAAACCTTGCAATGTGATTTTTAAGGACCCAAATGTTGTATTTTTATTTGTTATCTTTTGTCCAGTTGGAGAGTGGACAGGACCAGGATCTTGATGCTTTAGACCAAAACCAGACTGACTACCTGAGTGCTGCCAGTGACCTGGAGGACACTGATGGGGAGGCCTTAACTGATGATGCCTACACGGACAACGAGGATGTGGAAGAGGCCTATCCCGGTCAGGAAGCCGCCAGACACCTGCAGAGCCACCGGGAGGCTGGAGCCGCTTTGGCCCGATCGTCTGAGCCGGCCTTCAGGCATGACGGGCAGTCAGCAGAAGCTGAGGCCAGCGATGACACGTATTCAGAAAGAGAGCTCCCTCCTTTGATGCACGTGCCTGAGCCCAGGTCACCCCGCCATAGATCACCTCAAACACCGGAAGAGGAAGAAGAAGAGGAAGACGCATCTCAGCGCAGTTTTTCAGACTCGGACTTCAATATTGACTTTGAACCGCACTCTCCCTCAGATGGACCTCCAGATTTTGTAGCCCCTGACCCCATGGCTCGATACGCAGTGGATGAGCCTCCATACGCCGAGGAGCAGCCTGAGAGCTCACGACATGCTAGCCTGTCTGCTATAGAAGACAAACTAGAAAAGGTTTGTCTGCTTTTATGTTAAAACCCTTTATTCCCAAATTTGAATTTAACAAAATTTGCAGTTGTAGTTATTTGTATGCAGTATGGTACATATTCAAGGACTCAAGGTTCTTTATTGTCATTTTCATCACATGTGGTACATGAGTTGGAACGAAATTGTGTATACAGCGTCCCAGTTACATCCAACAAAAATATAACATGTAAAAGAAAAATGGTAATAAGATCCAAGATATGAACTAAGAAAAACGTTAACTAAAAAATACATTAAGCACTAGTAGTACAAAAACAATATGCCAAACAGCGGCAGCATGAACTTGTTTTTGTGAGTAGATGAGTAAGAATGAATATAGATATCTTCTTTAGCCATTCAACATTAGAAAAAGTGAATGAAAAATTAAAAAACATTTCAGCAAAAAATTATAATAAATCAGGGTTTTTGATTGCAGTGGGAAACTATTCAAAGAAAGAGGTTAGCCAAGAAGAAAGATGACAGTGAGAGGACTGAAGAGAAGAGACAGGAATTTAAGGAGATGGGACGTAGAGCAAAGAGGGAGGTGGCAAGGGCAAAGCAGAAGGCATATGATGAGATGCATGGGAGGCTGAACACTAAAGAGGATGAGAAGGACTTGTGCCAATTGGTGAGAAAGAGGGATCAGGCTGGAAAGGATGTGCAGCAGGTTAGACTTGTTAAAGATAGGAATGGTAATGTTTTAACAAGTGAGGAGAGTGTGACGGGAAGATGGAAGGAGTACTTTGAGGAGTTATGAATGAAGAGAAATGAAAGTCAGCCATAGTAAGACAGAGTACATGTGTGTGAATGAGAGGGAGGCCGGTGGAACAGTGAGGCTACAAGGAGCAGAGGTCACAAAGATGCAGGACTTCAAGTACTTGGGGTCCACTGTCTAGGAAAATGTGGAGTTTGGTAAAGAGGTGAAAAAGAGAGTCCTGGCAGGATGGCGTGGATGGAGAATAGTTTCAGGAGTAATTTGCAACAAAAGAGTGTCAGCAAAGGTCAAAGGAAAGTTTCCAGGACGTTGGTGAGACCAGCATTATTGTATGGTCAGTGGCATTGACAAAAAGACAGGAGAAAGAACTGGAAGTGACAGGAATGAAGATGTTGAGGTTCTCCTTAGGAGTGACAAGGATGGATAATATTAGGAATGAGATCATTAGAGGTACAACACAGGTTGAACAACTGTGAGATAAAGTTAGAGGGGCCAGACTGAGATGGTTTGGACATGTCCAGAGGAGGGACAGTGGGTATACTGGTAAAAAAAGACTTTTGATTGCAAGAAAAATACATGAAAAATTTGGAGCAGACAAAAATTTATTTCCAAAATAAACTCTAAAAGAAAGTTAAAACTTACAATATCTCTGGAATTTAAAGATGTTCCTTATTGTTGAACTGTTTTCTGTAACTTTGTTAGCACAGAAATGATCAGTTATACACAAAGTTTGTTTTCTCAGTCATCCAGGTATATAACAACAAAAAAGGTTGAATCATGTCATCTGGACTTCGTTTTTTTTTGTTAAAAAGAAACGTTTCGCCCCTCATCCAAGAGGCTTCGTCAGTCTGAGGCCTAGCCATCTGGTATTACCCAGAAGCCACCCTGACTCTTGTGTTTCAAGCCTGCCTCAGATACCCCTGAAGTCTGGCCTTTTCACTAATGGTTTCAAAAACACAAAGTTTGTTTTCTCAGTCATCCAGGTATATAACAACAAAAAAGGTTGAATCGTGTCATCTGGACTTCGTTTTTTTTTGTTAACAAAAAAAAACGAAGTCCAGATGACATGATTCAACCTTTTTTGTTGATCAGTTATACAGTATATAAAAAAATTAAAACCTGTGTACTTTGTCTTAAAGTTACAAAATCACATAATTTTAATGGTTGACATTCCCAAAGTTTTAACCCATAAGTAAATATCCAGTCTGTCCTGCTGATCAACCAGTGGTTGAACCTTGATGAGTGTTTGTTGCAGCTCCTCAGACTGAAGAAGTCTTTTAGGTAAAATATTGAACTTTTCAACAGAAGACCTGACTCAACCTTGTTAGATGAAAAGTCTGGTTTGAGACAAGTTCCTTTAAAAAATAAAAATAAAAATTCTAAAAGTGCTAGAAAAACTATTCATATATATTTAATCTGCAGTAAAAATGTCAAGCAATTTTATTTGAACTCTGAAGACACTAAATTTATGTTATCTAACTTTTTCCTTCGATTGAGTCGTCAAATGTTTCTTGCTTGCTGACTGATGCACTCTAATTTACATTACTGCAACACAATCACAATCTGTGTTTTTGTACACATACACTGTATATTTGTTGTTCTGTTGCAGACACGGATGGCAGAGCCGCAGGCAGTGACTGAGGTGAAGAAAGGCCCTGCGTTCATTGTGTAAGGCTCCTAATGTTTAAAGGATTCAGTAAAAGTGAGACTGAAGTTTGCTGCTGGTTTTCACCCCTTTTCCTCTTTTTCACCTCCAGTTTGGCGCATCACCACCAAGCAGTCCAGTACAGACGCACACAGATCCGGGGCAGTGATAGCTCTGAGGATGAGGATGAGGTGGTGGTGGACGAAGAGGATGACATGGAATGGGGTCCTGCTACTGAACTCTAGACAACGCTGAGGATTAAACCGACTGACAAACACAGACGTTGTGATGCTTTTTCTCCTTTAAGAAAAGCTTGTTTCTTAGATTTTTATTTGTTTTTATAAAGAGTGCCTTGTTTGGTGTGGAAGAATGATTAACGACTACTACAACAAATTTATTCCAGAAGAAGATCAAAGTGCCTGATTTCTTTTTATTTTATTTTTTTGTATTTATGTTGGAAAACTGTTGAGACAAATCAGAATTTTATTGCTGTTGTAGTTTTACACAATCTAGTTTGTTTTCATAAAAAACAGACTTTTTAGGATTTTTGTTTATTCAATAAACTTTTTTAACTTAAAAAAGTATTAGTTTGTTTATTTACCTGATATTTATATCACAGCTGTGACTACTGATTGTGTGTCCTGATGCGAAATAATCCAAACGGATTACGGGATTGTTTTCTCATTCAGGGCCACTTGAAGGAGCTGCGGGGACTGAAGTTCAATCCCATTTGAATGGGATGTAAAACTTCTAGAAAAATTACATCCAAATCAAATTTTATTCTGAAAAGTTGTGTGAATTTTATTTTGTCAAAAAAATAAATCCTGAAACCAGTTCTGTGGCTTTCAAAGAATACAGTAATTTACAGTAAATGTATATAACATTAAGTTATGGCCATTTAAGTGTCCCTGAAAATGTTAAGTTCATTAATGATTTTGTTTTGCATTATTGCATTTTCTTGCTCTGCTGCAGTAAAAATGGGTGTAAATCAATAATCACCAAATAAAGGCCCATGGGCCAAATTCAGTCCACACACAAGCTACTGGAAAATGAAAAAGTGAACTGGGAAGAGAACCATATTAAAGATCATTTGCATGCATAAACCCAGAACCATCAAAAGATGATAAAAAATAACCCAGTTTAATCAATTTTACAGGTGCTGGTAATAAAATTAGAATGTCATGAAAAAGTTGATTTATTTCAGTAATTCCATTCAAAAAGTGAAACATGTATATTATATTTATTCATTACACACACTGATATTTCAAATGTTTATTTTAATGTTTATTATTATTATAACAACTAATGAAAACCCCAAATTCAGTATCTCAGAAAATTAAAAATTGTGAAAAGGTTCAATATTGAAGACACCTGGTGCTGCACTCTAATCAGTTAATTAACTCAAAACACTTGCAAAGGCCTTTAAATGGTCTCCCAGTCTAGTTCTGTAGGCTGCACAATCATGGGGGAGACTGCAGACTTGACAGTTGTCCAAAAGACAACCATTGACACCTTGCACACGGAGGAAAAGACACAAAAGGTCATTACTAAAGAGGCTGGCTGTTCACAGAGCTCTGTGTCCAAACACATTAATAGAGAGGTGAAGGGAAGGAAACAATGTGGTAGAAAAAAGTGCACAAGCAATAGAGATGACTGCAGCCTGGAGAAGATTGTGAAACAAAACCTATTTCAAAATGTGGGGGAGATTCACAAAGAGTGGACTGCAGCTGGAGTCAGTGCTTCAAGAACCACCATGCACAGACATATACAAGACAAGGGTTTCAGCTGTTGCATTTCTTGTGTCAAGCCACTCTTGAACAAGAGACAGCATCAGAATCATCTCACCTGGGCTAAAGATAAAAAGGACTGGACTGCTGCTGAGTGGTCCAAAGTTATGTTCTCTGATGAAAGTAAATTTTGCATTTCCTTTGGAAATCAAGGTCCCAGAGTCTGGAGGAAGAGAGGAGAGGCACAGAATCCATGTTGCTTGAGGTCCAGTGTCAAGTTTCTACAGTCAGTGATAGTTTGGGGTGCCATGTCATCTGCTGGTGTTGGTCCACTGTGTTTTCTGAGGTCCAAGGTCAACGCAACCGTCTACCAGAAAGTTTTAGAGCACTTCCTGATACCTGTTGCTGAACAACTATAACTTCATTTTCCAACAGGACTTGGCACCTGCACACAGTGCCAAAGTTACCAGTACCTGGTTTAAGGACCATGGTACCCCTGTTCTTAATTGGCCAGCAAACTTGCCTGACCCCACAGAAAATCTATGGGGTTATCGTGAAGAGGAAGATGTGATACACCAGACCCAACAATTCAGAAGAGCTGAAGGCCACTATCAGAGAAACCTGGACTCTCATAACACCTGAGCAGAGTCACAGACTGATCAACTCCATGCTACGCCGCATTACTGCAGTAATCCAGGAAAAAGGAGCAACAACTAAGTATTGAGTGCTGTACATGTTCATACTTTTCATGTTCATACTTTTCAGTTGGCCAACATTTCTAAAAATCCTTTGTTTATTGGTCTTAAGTAATATTCTAATTTTCTGAGATACTGAATTTGGGTTTTCATTAGTTGTCGGTTATAATCAACATTAAAAGAAATAAACATTTGAAATATATCAGTCTGTAATGAATGAATATAATATACAAGTTTCACTTTTTGAATGGAATTACTGAAATAAACTTTTTCATGATATTCTAATTTTATGACCAGCACCGGTATGTTTTACTGAGGATTAAACTGCGATCACATTTATTCTGTACAAACATGTTGCTGCGCGCAGCGCCTAAACTGTGCCAACTCAACACAAACCTTTTTGTAGCTGAAATAAATATCATTTTAATAACTCTCTAAAATAATTTTTGAATTAATATGACATCATATTTTAAACATTTACAGGTCCTTCTCAAAAAATTAGCATATTGTGATAAAGGTCATTATTTTCCATAATGTAATGATAAAAATGAAACTTTCATATATTTCAGATTCATTACACACCAACTGAAATAGTTCAGGTCTTTAACTGTTTTAATACTGATGATTATGGCATACAGCTCATGAAAACCCCAAATGCCTGTCTCAAAAAATTAGCATATCATGAAAAGGTTCTCTAAACAAGCTATTAACCTAACCATCTGAATCAACAACGTAACTCTAAACACCTGCAAAAGATTCCTGAGGCTTTTAAAAACTCCCAGCCTTGTTCATTACTCAAAACCGCAATCATGGGTAAGACTGCCGACCTGACTGCTGTCCAGAAGGCCATCATTGACACCCTCAAGCAAGAGGGTAAGACACAGAAAGAAATTGCTGAACGAATAGGCTGTTCCCAGAGTGCTGTATCAAGGCACCTCAGTGGGAAGTCTGTGGGAAGGGAAAAGTGTGGCAGAAAACGCTGCACAACGAGAAGAGGTGACCGGACCCTGAGGAGGATTGTGGAGAAGGGCCGATTCCAGACCTTGGGGGACCTGCGGAAGCAGTGGACTGAGTCTGGAGTAGAAACATCCAGAGCCACCGTGCACAGGCGTGTGCAGGAAATGGGCTACAGGTGCCGCATTCCCCAGGTCAAGCCACTTTTGAACAAGAGACTGTGTCAGAAGCATCTCGCCTGGGACTGCTGCTGAGTGGTCCAAAGTTATGTTCTCTGATTACAGTAAATTTTGCATTTCCTTTGGAAATCAAGGTCCCAGAGTCTGGAGGAAGAGAGGAGACACAGAATTCACATTGCTTGAGGTCCAGTGTCAAGTTTCCACAGTCACTGGGGTGTCATGTCATCTGCTGGTGTTGGTCCACTGTGTTTTATCAAGAGCAGGGTCAATGCAGCTATCAGGAGATTTTGGAGCACTTCATGCTTCCATCTGCTGAAAAGCTTTATGGAGATGAAGATTTCATTTTTCAGCACCACCTGGCACCTGCTCACAGTGCCAAAACCACTGGTAAATGGTTTACTGACCATGGTATTACTATGCTCAATTGGCCTGCCAACTCTCCTGACCTGAACCCCATAGAGAACCTGTGGGATATTGTGAAGAGAAAGTTGAGAGACACAAGACCCAACACTCTGGATGAGCTTAAGGCCGCTATCGAAGCATCCTGGGCCTCCATGACACCTCAGCAGTGCCACAGGCGGATTGCCTCCATGCCACGCCGCATTGAAGCAGTCATTCATGCAAAAGGATTCCCGACCAAGTATTGAGTGCATAACTGAACATGATTATTTGAAGGTTGGCGTTTTTTGTATTAAAAACACTTGTCTTTCATTGGTGGGATGAAATATGCTAATTTTTTGGGACAGGCATTTTGGGTTTTCATGAGCTGTATGCCATAATCATCAGTATTAAAACAATTAAAGACCTGAAATATTTCAGTTGGTGTGCAATGAATCTGAAATATATGAAAGTTTAATTTTTATCATTACATTATGGAAAATAATGACCTTTATCACAATATGCTAATTTTTTGAGAAGGACCTGTATGCTTAATGGAGGTAAGCAAAAACCATAAAGCAAACGTTCATTCCAAAATAAAACGGAGGAAATTGTTTGAGTTGCGCTGAAAATGGCAGCTGTGCGTAAAAGCAGGAAACGTGCTTTGAACGCAGGTGCGCGAGGACTGGCGGATTGCTGCGTGTGTTTTGGTCCAGGAGTTAGTCTGAACTCATGAAGACGGTGATCTTTACTTTACATCCAGCTGCTTCAGTCCTTAAACTTCTGCCTGTGCACGTGGAGGGGGTGCCTCCTGCTCCCACCCCTGGACGCGCTCGCACAAAGAGAGCGGATGCCGCGTGCGCCCGGAGCGCTCATCGCTGATGTGTTAGCCCGTTTGTGTGCGCGTGAGTGAGCCTGCGCGCGCTCGATGAGCGACAGCAGAAGGAGGAAGACGCGCTGCAGACAGTTGTCGTGGCTCCGCGTTGGCCCGGATGGCACCGAAGTCCCGCTGAGCCGCAGAGCGCACGACAAGTGGCGAGTCGGGGGGTGGGTGGGGGGTCTGTGCGGAAAACTAAAGGAGGTCGGGATGGACGGAAAGGGCACCCTGAAGATGTTCACCAGGAAGAAGCGCGAGCTCATCAAGACACCGTCCATCTCGAAGAAAAGTCGAGCCGGAAGCCCCGGGCCGCAGAGCAGCGCCCCGTCTGTGAGTAGCGCATCACTTCTGGTTTCTGTGCGCGTGTGCGTGCGTGTGGTGTCAGCCGGCCTACGGCTGGATGGGACAGACTGTGCACAGAGAGGTATCAGGGGTGATTGTGCGTGTGTGCTTGTTTCAGTTTGCTGAGGGTGAAACAGTGTGCTGCTCTTCCTCCATGCATGTTGCTGAATGTGCACATCCTGGGTGCCTGACTGCAACCTGACTCATGGCAGTGCTGTAAGGAAGTCCACTCTGTGTGGAGTTTTTGACACTAGCGAGTGAGGAAAAGCTTGATAGAAGTGCACTTCTACTAAAAATGGGGTCGGAGCTGTAAGCAACATGAAACGTGGAGGCAAAAGTAGCTACAACCCTTACTCAACGAGTCAGAGAGTTAAGAAAGCTGAGTCCAAAGGGAAGGACAAGCTGGACATCCTGCCCAACAAACACACCATATGGCTTAAACAGGTACGTCTGGCTTTATTCACCTGTCGGACATGACAGCAGGGATGCCTTTCCATCTATCTGGTCTAAAGTCTGGGATCTGGCATTGAGCAAAGGGTAGAATGCACATGTTTTCCTCTGTCTCTTGTTTGTGTTTTGTAAACATTTAAAAGGGCCATTTACAATGTCCTTACCCCAAACAGTGCATGATATCTGACTCTAAGTTCAGTTTGCCACACCCGACAGCAGCGTGGAGTCAGGAAGTGTTGCTCAACATGGCACAGGATCTTGTGAAAGTCTATGTTCACCATGAGCAGCAGCGCTGCCGGTGCTGGTGTAGGCCGCAGAAGCATTTGACGAGTTTCACAACTGAATCTAACCTAAATCTGCTCCTTTCTTTTTTACTAGTTGTCCATTCTCCAGGAGCAACCTCGGAAAGATGGCAGCCACTCCGCTCCCTCCTCCTCACTTTCATCTTCTTCTTCTACTTCTACTCTTATGACGTCCTCAGCCAGCCTCCAGGACCCGTTGGCGTCATGCCCGGGCACACCCAGCACCCAGCACGGCAAGCTGGCGGCGATGCAAGTGGTGGGCTGCGTGTCTCCTGCAGCCACTCTGAAGAGACCAACCGCCCTGAGCCGACACGCAAGTGCCGCAGGTCTGCTTTGTGTTCGCTCGTGTTAGCTCTGTGGCCCCGCACGACCTCTGACAAATCTGGGCAAAGTTGATCCACATGTAAAGACTTAGTCTGGCAAATGGTGAAGCCTTGATTGGACAAAACGGTTTTTCTTTACTTTATTTGTTTTATATCCTAATATTCAAATATCTTTTTTTAATTCAACCTTTATTTACACAGGTTAGTCTCGTTGAGTCACGAGGACTCGTTTTCAAGAGAGACCTATTTTTAAACAAACCTACGGAGCACAAGATCTCCGTACGTAATGAGAACAAAATCCAGTTCTAAAATAAAGTTTAACACTTGAAGTGTTAAATAGGGCTGACGTTGATATCATTTGGACTTGAACCTTGGAAACCTTTTGGGCCAGGACTAGTTGTATTGATAGTTTAAATATATATATATATTTTTAAAGTATATGAACGGGTAATTCATGCTTTTATCTACCTTCATGCTTTGCAACTCTGTGTGTCGACTGCAGTTAGTTCAGAACAGCTGAACAAAATGAACGTGTCCACTTCACAGGCTCCCTGTTCACTTTAGAATTAATTATAAAGTTTTATTGATAAGGCCCTGTGGTCAGTCAGACCTCCTGCAGCCTTATGTGCCCTCCAGATCCATAAGCTCTAATATTTATTTGCTTTTGGTTGTCCCACAGTCCAAGCTGAGCCACAGAGGCCACCAGGCCTTTTCAGCTGCACCCCCTGTGGAACCCCTTCATGTCAGACAGGCTTCAACTTTTGATGTTTTTAAGTCTCCTTAAAACACATTTATACTCCCTGGCTTTTAATACACCATGGGTTTTTACTAAGTTCCATTTAATGGTTTTATTTTCTCTCGTCATGTATTTAATTGCTTTTCTTTTCAACTGTTCTTGTAATTTGTTGCATTTGTTTGCAGCACTTTGGTCAATGGCAGTTGTTTTTAAATCCATCCATCCATTATCTTTACCTGCAAACTCCACCCAGAAAGGCCCCCGGACTGGGATTTGAACCAGGGACCTGCTCGCTGAGAGGCAGCAGCTCTACCAGTTGCGCCACCATGCTGCCCTTGTTTTTATATGTTATACAAATAAGTTAGATTTGGCTGATTGGTAACTCTAAATTGTCCCTAGGTGTGAGTGAGAGAGTGAATGGTTGTTTGTCTCATTTGTCCCTGTTATGGACTGGAGACATGTCCAGGGTGTCCCCCACCTATCTCACGGAGACTGCCCATGACCCCCATAACGAAGAAGCAGGTAAAGATTATGGATGTTCCATGGTGAATAAAATATGGGTTTATGTCATTAGAAAATGTACACATTCTGCTTATCCAAAGCACACATCCTTCATCCAAAGGACTTCATCAGTCCAAGGAGCCACAACAAACTCAGTCCCACAAGCAGCACACTCGCATAGTAGATCAACCAGTTTGCTGGTGATAAAATGGTTTCTGGGACTCGCCCTCTCTCCCGTCGACTCCTCTGAGGCAGCCATAGCCGAAGTGGTTCAAAACATCAAAATTCATGCTCAATAATCCAGGTAAATATTTTTACCTGGATTATTGAGCATGAACTTTGAGTTTGGAAACATTTTTGGGCCTAATGTGTAAACTATTAAAACAGTTTTGATCTTTTTTTTTTTTTTTTTTTTTAGATTTTTAATTTTACACTTTAAAAGCTCTATATGTTTTCGTGTCTCTTCAGGGTTTGCGCTCCCATCATGGGTTCACACAAAAGCCCAAGGGAAGGGAACCTCGACACCGTCTCCTCAGTCTGAGGGTCCGGAGAGCACAGCCATCGAGGTGGAGGATATTCCAGCTCTGCTGAGGGACGTGGCTCGCTTCGCGGAGGCTGTGGAGAAGCTTAAAGATGTCGTGCTGACTGAGGGTAAGATCCAGTTCACACAGTGTGCAAACAACTCGTACGTCAACACAGCTGAAGGGTCTACATGGCTTCTGGTCCATGGGTCTTATATTCATGTGAAGGCATGCCAGTTGTTTCTGCTGGGCGAGTTCCTCTTACATGGCACTCCATGTTGACCCCCCATATGAAGAGAATTAAAGGCCTTTTGTCAGCCATGTTTGCGAACGTATGCCTTTTGTGCACAAGATCAGAATGGGGGCGGAACTACTGCGCACCAGCAAGCTTGGAAGCAAGCAATGAGCTTCCTCTCTCCAAATGAAGGGTTGCATTTCCGCTGCGCCCTTCTAGTTAACCACACTCTTACCTCCTGCAGGAAGCCTGCCTCGTGGTTACTGCAGCCATGTTCACACATGTGCTCTCCGCCTCCTGCACCGTGCAGCTCCGCTCGAAACTTACAGCATCCATAAATGGAGTGAAATGCACCATCTACAACTGGATTCCACCAGAGAAACACAACCTGTGGCCTTAAAATGAATAGGGCAGGATTAATGTTGTTTAGGTTAAACTGTTTGTTTGTTGTGTAAATATGTTTAATCTTTTTGTGGGCTGGTATCTAGTTTTGTTCCATCCTGCTCTCCTTTCATGTGAGCTCTGAACAGGAAGTCTTGATGGATAGCCCTGTGAGACAGTCCACACTTCCTCTTGTGAAAGGTCTGAGCAATGTGATGCTTTGTTTTCATCAGCAGCTCAGTTCTATTCGTTTAGCACTTTTAATGCAAGATCTCCATAAAATGTGAGTTATTTTTATTGTCTGTGGCCAAAAGGCAAAATGCAGGTGATAATGTTTTTATCTGTGTTTTTCTGTAGTGTTGGCAAAATATGACGAAACACGGGATGGATTTTAATGAAACTCAGAAATTGGTGTTAATAGATAAGTCATCTTTAACACATACTGAGTGCTAACAGATCTTTGTTAAACTGTTGAAGTCAGACATGTATGTTAGTAAAATGTCTCATGAACCACTTTTGAAGTCAACCCAACTCAAAATGGCCACACAGCCAACTGACTATAGAAAACATCAATATGGTTGTAGCTTGACCAGTTTCACAGATACTGAGCTGGAATTTGGTGGTACCAGCTTAAGATCCATCCATCCATCCCTACTCACATCCTCACTCACTCACATACTTACATACTCCCTCACATATTCACTCACTCACATACTCACATCCTCACTCACACACTC